CTAGCGGCTCATCGACACCACTGAACTTGGCGGGAAATCGCTTGCGTAGTCGAGTAGCTGACTCTTTCTCTATAAATACGCCGACATAATCAAGAGCAGGATGCAACGAAGTATCAGCATCTGTAAACTCTAGACGAGTAGATTGTATCGATAGCAAAGCGATAGGTGCGGTCAGATACGGTATGAAGCGATGGAAAACTGTCTGATTGGTGTAGCGTACGTGAAACGGGAATCTATCTTAACATTTAAAAATAGTTGGCGTTAGTTTACATTTTAACTCCTTGTGTCAAGGAAAACAAAAGGCTTAAATTGTCACGTCGTTTAGCGAGGATCAGAAGATTCCACAAATTTTGTATTAGATTCAAAACAAAAAGAAAGAATTTCAACTTGTTAAAAACTTTTGAAGCTTCACTGACGTCGTAGGATTGCAGCAACACCCGAAAGATTGTTCTCCGACAGTTAATACTTTGATTGCATGATCTATTCTGCCAACCGCACGCCGTCAGTGCCTTTGCTTGACAGGAGGAAACGCAATGCCAGACTCGATCAGAAATCAATTGGGTAAATATCAAATCTTAGTGCTTGATAATTTGTGCCGCCATGTAGTACGAAGAAATTCTACCAACTCAATCAAAGGGATGCTGAAGGATGTGTCGTACTGTAAGTTGCGTAAAAATCGATACCACATGAATTCATCATTTGACATTTCAAATAAAATATCGAGTACAAGCGAAAAGGCTTTGTCTTTGCCATACAGCTTCTCCAATTCACGCCAACATCCATCGTCCTTCAATAAGTCAAGCGCTTTTTTAAGGCTCGCAAATTCTACTGAATCTACACCTCCATCAAACGGCTTTCCAATCCATGATTGAAAAAGAGCGCATAACAAGCCATTTAGACCAACATTGGATTTCGACAACTCGTGTAGCTGTACAGCAAATTTTACTTCATTTGTTATTTCATTTTGAAATCCATTCAGCAGAGATTCACTGGGGATAATACTCGAAAATTTCGCGAAAGCTATCAAATTGCCAAGACTGGTATCTTTCAAAGCCGTACCGCTATTTTTATATTTTGATAGGAATTTTTCCTTGTCGAAATTTTCGTCCAATTTTCAAGCAGATTTCGTAACAACTTGTTGTGCGGCGAATCAGCCTGCTCATTTTCGCTGCTGCCCAACATGTACAATAGTTTGGCCCACATGAGTTCATCTGAAGACCATGCATCCAAATTCGTCAGTCTGACCTCCGATGAGAAGA